AAGTCTCTAAAATTTTTCAAATTTCTCCTTCCTTTGGTTTGGAGCCAAGGAAGTTTAAATTCAAATTTTGAAGGGCCCCTCCTGTAGTCTGAAAAGCTCCTGAGCACCTCTGACCTTGTCTCCCACTCATTTGATTCCCTTCACTCCCCACCCATCTACTTATGAATCTATAGGCTCTTCCTACTCTCCCTAACTTCTTACTTCATTACTTAACCTCTAAGATCTTTAGCTCTCTCTTCCCCTCATTATCAGCACTCAGAATTTCTTTGAGCTTTTACACTTTCAGGTACAATGAGGAAAAAGGACAGCTCAACAGCAACCAGCAGTATGCAACAAAGGGAGGAAGCATCCCTATTGCCAAGCGCTTAGATCCTCATGGAAAAACTCAACCAATGTAGCTTCCAGCCCACAAGATATCCTTGCGCCTCCACTATGCAAGCACTTGGGATCAACTTGGACTGCAAGACTATCTTTGAAGGCATGGGGCTCACTGACTTATGGCAAGAGCACTTCCATCCTACATGAACCTCACCCACCAATTCCTCTCTATCCTGAAAGTGGTGCACTATGATGATAGCCAGCTGGTGAATGGGGACAGCTGGATATCCTTTCAAATCGATGGCCAAACCTTCACAATAACCTTCTTCAAGCTTGCACTGGCCTTAGATACATACAGATATACTTCATGGGAGCGCAATTTCAAGATCAGCCAAAGGCAACACAAGATGCTATGGGAAGTATTGGGGGCATTGTGACAGCCATCCTAATAGCTTGTGGCGTGAACCTGGCGGAGCATGCCAACAGTGCCCTACAACCACTATGGATGGACTTAGACTACCTAAGAAGCGGGCATTTCCTTGAAGGGAGCATCGGCAGCCAGCACATCTACACCTTCTTCAAGGACACCAACACGACAACCCAGTTTCTCCTTCCGAACCTTCCGCAAACAAGCATAGAGATCAGGAGCCACTTGAGCTTTTGCCCTGATGAGAGCCAACTATACCACGAGGGATCAGTAGTTGAAGAGAGAACTAACAGTCATCGAGACAAGGAACAAAGATCATCCCACCACTCCTGCCACTAAACCAAGTAACACATCCTCTCCATTGTTATATACCATTGCATCTCTTCATTTTTGTAATATATTTTGTTGCTTCTCTCTTCTATTGCTTTCATTACACAAGGGACTGTGTAATTTAAGTGTGGGGGAGAGATTTGGGGTTTGACCTTGTTTTCTGTTTTCTTAGTTTTTTGTTTTTCTTTTCACTTTGAGTCTCATGCATATCATGCATACATGTAAGGCATAGAAAAACACAAAAAAAAAAAATTGAAAAAAATTGAAAATCTTTTGCATTTTTTGCAAACCAAAAAGAAAGCATGTAGTTGCATTTCATTCCTTTAAGATTGAGTCTAGTGTTGACATATAGGTTGCATTGCATTTGCATAGGGCATTATGATGAATTTTCCTTGTAAAGTGCTTAGTGTTTAGAGATGATTTCAGTTTTCAAGTGCTTAGTTGTTTGATGCATCATATGATTGCTAGAAGTTAAGGCTGAACCATGCTTAGATTGCTAGATTTGGTCTTCTCATTTCATTCTGAAAGCATTTGTTCTCTAAAAATCAACTCTATCAACTTGAACTTTAACTTGGACTTTCAATTATCATGTCTTATGCATTGAAAAGTGAATTCATGGCTACCATATACATATTTGGATCATCTTCCTCCTTTCTACCACTCTTGTTGATCCAAATAGCTGATCCTCATACTTATGGGACAGTAACATCCTCACCCTTAACCAAAACCTCCTTTTGAGCCTAAACACTATTGTGAGAGCTGTGAGGCCTTTGCATTGCATTTTCGATTTTGTCTTGGCAAAAAGTGTTAGGAATAAGGCTGGCAATGATTAGCTCTCTTATAGATATCAGCTTGCATCTTGAGCTTGATTCTAGGATAGGCGTTTTTGGGGTTTGAAAGGGTAGAGTTAGGTGGTTTGAGCTTAATGTTTTTATCTTTTGAAAAGAAAAGGAAAAGATTTGAAATGGTAGATAAAGGGGAAACAGTTTAGTATTGTGGTTAAGCAAAGGGAAGAAAAACTCAAAGTTCAAAAAGGAAGAATTGGCGCCAACAACAAAGCTCAGAAAGGGTCCAAAGAAGAAAAATCAGACCAGGAGCAATCCACCAAAGGTGATGAAGGTGCCATTACAATAAAGAAGAGCAAGTCCCAACCAAGAAGAAGCAACCACACAAGCAGAATGAAGAAGGTTTCCCCAGCCATGAATAAGAAGAAAGAAAAGGGTAGAGTTTAGGAAAGGGTAGACTTAGAGGGTTCACTTTTGGGTTTAGAAATGCTTAGGACTCATCTTTGGGAAGTAAGGGTAGAAGAGGGCTTTGAATTGCATGCATAAGTGTGATTTTACCTTTAGCATTTTGCCTAAGATGAAGTCATTCATTGAGTGATCCTTTATGCTTTTAACCCTGTGCTTAAATGAGATCATTATTGTCTCATAACCTTACCCCTTTTCAACCAAATGTCTTCACTTGATTTGCATAAGCATGATTCATGTTCTGAACTTAATTGAATGTTAAAGAGTTGATTGATTTGAGCATTTGCCTAAGTTGAGATTTGAGATCATTTTGAAACATGATGAGCATGTCTAGGTTCTTTTAAGTATAGCTGATTGTGTTTGCATCCTACAACTAGGCACTTGAGCATTAAAACCATCTCTTTACCTTTGCACTTTTGGAATCTGAATGCCCACTTTCAAACCTCACTCTCCTATTTGTTCTTACTTGCTTGAGGACAAGCAAAAGGCAAGTGTGGGGGTGTTGATATCCCTTGTATTTACACCATTTATGGCCGTATTTAGTACATGTTTTGGTCCTCTTTTGCATATTTTTCCTTAGCTTTTGTCCCATTTTCATCTCCTTTTAGACTTAGGTTGCATTTAGAGTATATATTGCATTTTCCTTGCATATTGGATGTTTTTAGGTGCTTTTGGAGCTTAAAGGAGCTTAGAGGAGCTTTGAGAATGATCCAGGAGGCTAGCTGGACAAAAAGTAGCAAGAAGGATCAAAGCAGAAGATCTCTGCAGAAGTTTTCGGTCAGAGCCTGGAATTTTCGGTCTCTGGTGACCAAAATGGAGCAGTATCGATCACCAGTATCGGTCTGATGTGGTCGACACAAACACACCGTTATAATTTCGGTCAAGTGTGTCGACCACTGATGACCGATACAGATAAATTTCGGTCACTGGAGGTCGACACAACTGATTGATACCAGCTCTGCCCGAAGACCCTTTATTTACAATTACGCCATTTTCGCCTAGACTCCTATAAATACGGGAAATCCCTAATTTTTGGGAACAAGCTTTTACCCAGCAGTTCTTTCTTCCTGGTTTAGACCTCTGGATTTTGTAATTTGAATCTTTGCTTCATTTCAATAAAAGTTTGCATCTTTCATCTTATTTAAGCTTTCTAATCATGATTAGTCATCTTTCTCTCTTTGATTTGGTGGCTTTTATGGTGATTAGTGAGTAGTCCTTTTTTGGGATTTGAGATGGGTTAGGTTTAGGGGATTTGAGAATTTATCTATGATTGCTTAGTGTTAATTCTTTTATTTCCTTTCTTGATTGATGTGTTTAATGCTTAATTAGCCCTAGCTAAGTTGATTAAGATCTTAGGCTCATTTTATGCCCACCAAGTGTTTGATGAAATGCCTGAACTGCTTTGCAAGAGAATTGCTTATCCTAGCTCAAGAGATTGACTGTCTAGGGAGTGATTTGGCAATATAGGGTTGATAGAATTGTTTTAATGCTTGCTCCTTATCATTTCACTAATGAGAATTAGTTCTTGACTTAGTAATTAGCAAAGAGATTAGTGCCAAGAGATTGGATTAATCATATAAATGAATCCTATGCATAAGGAATAGCATTGTGTGAGTTTGTAAGCATCATAAGTAGAGTCAAGAGTTCCCTATCACCAACTATCTCATCTCAAGTCCCATCTTTTCTCTGTTTTAAGCTCTGTTCTGAATTAGCTCTGTTTTCACTTCTACTTTGGTCATTTGCTTGCTTACTTCCTTATTTGTGTTTGTTTGGTTTTTGCTTGATCACTTAGGTTGCTAGAAACTCTAAAACCCTTTTATATCTGGTTGAATTAGGATTTCTACTGCGTTCTTATCGTTTCATTTTCCCCTTTTGGATTGATAAAACCCTATGCTATACTACAACTGATTAGTACAAGCCTGGGTAGTTGAATCAAGTCCCAAAAAGTCTTGTATCAGTGATCGTGAACTCTGCTTTTCTGAATGTATAGTTTGGGGTTAAACCAAGCATAACCTGCTTTCTGCTTTAGAACTGAGTCCCAGCTAGGTCATATTAGGTTGCTGTTTGCTCTGTGATTGCCTAGATGTGTTTAAGATTTTGAAACTGAAGTTACAGGAGACTTAAAATGAATCTTTACTTGTGTTTGAAGCGCCTTGCTTGTTTGATTGTTGTTTGGATCTCTTTTGTGATTGTGTAATCGCCTAGAACTTGTAAAAATGATAACATGTTTGGCTTCTAGCGCAGATGGTTATCTTGACATTGCCAGTTCAATTTATATTATCGGAATTGGATATCACAAAAAACCTGCCTGATCTTGATTGCTGTTGATGGGTATCGTCGGAAGCCGGATATTCAAACTTTTCGATCCTTCCAAGAAATTTCTGTTTCAGTTTGTGGTCGGTGAAAGTTTTCTTTATTTTAACAGCATTTCTTCATTCTTTTACACGAGTAATATGGATAGTTTAGATCACAGAAAATTAAAAAATGGTTCAATTGCAAAAAAAATGCCTCTTTTATAATGTAAAAGTCATAAAATGCCTCCAAATATAAATAATACACATGCCTAAACAGGACCTAGTTGTATTTGTTAATTTTATAATGATTATCTCACAAAAAATTAATTTCAAATATCATACAGGCTGATTACACAATTAGAGCTAATTTATCGTTGCACACAAAAAAAAGGAGCTAATTTATCAAGACCGGGTCCGAATTCGGGTACGGGTTCGGTTTCTCATTACGGTCAACTAAACCCGAATCACAACGGCAGCTTACTGTGAAATTCCGGCTGGCGAAACTTGAGAAGAAAAATGAAATCGAATGATCCCAAAAAGCTCCCAGAAGAAGCGATTCAGCTTCCGACGACGTCGATCCAGCATCCGCCTTCGTTATCGGAGCGTTTATTGATCCCTACCTTTCTGGCAGGTTTCAACATTTCAACCCTTCTCGGGATTTATATTTTTTGCGTTGTATCTTTGTTTTAAGAGTATGTGAATTGATACGATAGCTCTATTTGATTAAGACCAATTATCGTTTACGTATTGCTATAGCTGCAACAGAAACTATCGAATATAGCGATAGTTGGAAATGAGTTTTTTCCTTGAATTTTCTATAAAGTAACAAACAAGCAGAGAATCACAGCTTGTACGTAGCCGCAGTTAAGAGCCCTTTGATTGATTAATGGTGTCTAAGATTTCTCTTCTGGCAAAATCTTTTGGTGGATTGATAAGAATCTCTCAGCTCTTTGTATTTCTTGAGGGTTTTATTGGACATCAATTTCTGATTCTATTGCTTAGGGATTTGGAGATTTGGTAAGTGCAAGATATTTCGCATCAGGATTGTCTGAGATTTTAGGATTAGACTCACAGCTTATGCTATCTTTTGAGGGATTTAGAGGAAAGCAACTTCTTCATTGGATTGACTTTTTATTTGGGATTTGAGGATTATAGTGTGATGGAAAGTAAAAGAAATTTAGCATCGGGATGATCTTAGATTTTTGGATTAGACTCAGCTTTATGCTATCTTTTAAGGGGTTTAGACTATTAGAATACATTCTGCATCGGCTTGACTTTTTTATTGCTTTTGGGGATTATAGAGTGATGGAAAAGTAAACGACATTTAGCATTTGAATGATCTGAGATTTTTGGATTGGAATCTCACCTAGATGCCATCTTTTGAACGTTTTAGTGGACAGTAACTTCTGCATTGGCTTGACTTTTTCTATTTGGTTAGAGGTTTAGGCACCGTGAGTGATGGAAAGTGCAAGAAATTTAGCATCAGATGATCTTGAGATTTTTGGATTAGTCTCTCAGCTTTATGCTATCCTCTGAGGGTTTTAGAGGACTGTAACTTCTGCATTGGCTTGACTTCTATATTTCTTGGGGATTTCGGGATCATAGAGGGAAGTCAATTTAGCATCAGAATGAACTGAGATTTTGGGTTTATCGAATGCAGGAGTAACAGGAGGAGGAGCTGGATTACTGTCAAAACATAGGAAAGCTCATCCCAATATTCCCGTTACTTATGCTACTAATTTCGCCATTGTTGCTGGTTGCTATTGCGGTAACTAAGAAGCTCTCTGCGTTGACTTTGAAAATTATCTTAGACTCGTTTTTGTTTGTTTCCATTTGTTTCTAGATGAAGTGAGTGTGATCTTTCGTTTCTCAGGGGCTCGTGAATTGGTCAGAGAAACTAGAAAATCAGAACAAGGCGATTTAATGAATTCAGTTATCGGCGGTCTTTTCAGTGGTGCTTTATTAGGAAGACTTCAAGGTTTGTTATCTGTTTGATGTATTCCTCGTAGTCTTTGTCTGCTTTCTTGCGCCTAGTTTATTGAGATTGGAACTAACATTATAGGATCTTCTCGTATGTTTGCAGGAGGACCTCGTGGTGCGTTTCGCTACTCTATAGCTTTTGCCACTTTAGGCACAGCATTTGATTATGCTAGCCTTAGGGCAAAACTTCTGTTAGAGAGCGTGCGTAACATCGATTCAATCACGCTACCTGTATGGTTTCCCATACAGATCCTTGACGAAGAAGCCCTTGCGAAGAAGAAAGCTCAGGAACGGAAACTCTTCCCAAGATTGAACAAAGAAGAATCTTGACATCCGATCAAATCTTTCGAAAGCAGTTTTCAGTGTCTTGTCTGAGAATTTTAGTCTGGGTTTGTCGTTTCGTGACGTAATTCCGGATTTTTAGATATGACATTGAAAGAGGAGGTTTGACCTTTAAGTTTATTGTTTACACAAGGGAACCTTTGGTGGGTGAGCTACAACGGTTTTTAATATATGACTGATCTGATTACTTCTCGGACTGTTTTGGTTTGTGGGTGTTGAATTTACAGTCGCAACCTTTTTTCCGACAAAATCTACACTATTATTTAAAAGAGGATCATTTTTTGAAACAAACATTTGTTTAATGTGTTATTGTGTGTGCTGGATTTCAGACGATAGAATTTGTCTGTTAAAAATAAAAGAGAACATAAAGATTCTAAGTTAAACACGAGAGAACAAAGATCTAAAGATGGTGATTTTATTATTGTCGTTTAGATAAGCTTTTGGTATAAGTATTTTACTATAGCTTTGCTAGGTAAAAAGCCGATCCTTTTACAAATGAACTAACTTATCTATTTATACGGTTTCTCTATCGCCTAAGCGAGAATTTATGAATATATTATGTAGATATTCCTTCGTTTCTCTCTTGACGGTGACCCCCTCCACAAGGCTTCGTTTTTTAGGGTAAACATCGCTTCGGACCTCTTTGTGGGCTTGGGCTCGGCCCGTAATCCAAATGCTTTCGTCTCGGGCTTGGTTTTGGGCTTCGTCTTGACTTAGTCCATAAATGCTTTAGTTTGGCTCGATACTAGTTTGGTTCGGTTTGTGTATAGTTTCTGACCAAAGCGACGGTTTGGCTCGGTTTATGCACGAATCATGCACGGTTCGGTTCAGCTCGGTTTAGTGCATAACTCGTGCATGTTTAGTGCGTGCTTCAGTTCTCTTCGGCTCCATGCACAAATTCTGCACCGAAGCATTTCAGCTCGGTTTCTGCACAATTTGTGCACCGGGGTGTCTAGCTCGGGCCTTGCACAGTTTGTGCACCGAAGCATTCAGCTCGGTTCCTGCACAATTTGTGCACCGAAGCGTTCAGCTCGGTTTCTGCACAATTCGTGCACCGAGGTGTTTCAGCTCAGTTTCTGCACAATTTGTGCACCGAGGTGTTTAGCTCGGGGCCGTGCACAATTTGTGCACCGAGGCGTTTGGCTCGGATCGTGCACAGTTTGTGCACCGAGGTGTTTAGCTCGGACTTTGCACAATTTGTGCACCGAGGTGTTTGGTTCGGGTCGTGCACAATTTGTGTACCGAGGTATTTGGCTCGGATCTTTGCACAGCCTGTGCACAGTTCGTTCTCCTGCACATTTTATGTACAGTCAGGAATAATTTCCATACTTAGTCATTTTCTTGATTGATCTCGTTGGGGTGAATACCGACCCCAACAGTTAGCCCCCCAGCTCGTTAGACTCAGAAGTGTGAATGACGAGCTGTTAGGAGAGACGAAATCAATGTTCCACGATCTTTTTTTTTGACTATCTAAAACGCTTCGCTTACCTAGCCGAGGCGTTTATGCTCAACTGGCCGAGGCGTTATGCTTGCATAGCTGAAGCATTTTACTTTGATCGGCCGAGGCGTTTTGTTTACCTTACCGAGGCGTTTCGCTTGCCTTGGCGAAGTGTTTTGAGTTAATTGGCCGAGGCGTTCATGCCTTATTGGCCGAGGCGTTAGTGCACTACTTGCCATGTCGTTCTTGTTTGCCTTATCGGCCGAGGCGTTCTGTTTGCCTTATTGGCCGAGGCGTTCTGTTTGCCTTATTGGCCGAGGCGTTTTGTTTGCCTTATTGGCCGAGGCGTTTTGTTTGCCTTATTGGCCGAGGTGCTTATGCTCTGACAACGAGGCGTTTTGTTTGCCTTGTCGAGGCGTTTTACTCCGATTGGCCGAGGCGTTTATGCTTCGTGGATGATATGTTTGCTTCAAGATTGTCGAGACGAGCTACGTGCTTTTCGGATATTCGCCTCGATCTTCAAAGGATAGTCACTTCGGTCTTCAAAGGATATTCGCTTCGGTCTTCAAAGGATATTTGCCTCGGCTCTTTATTAATGCCTTGGAAACACTTAGGATTTTTATGGCATCTCCAAATCTTCTGAATTGGGCCTCAGTCTTAATAAGTTTGGGTCTCTGGAAGCCCATTACTTTTTCAAAGAGTTAATTATGCCTCGGGAAGTGTAAACTTTGGCTATAAAAGCCGAGGCTTCCCTTCACTTCTTCATTATCTTCATCACCCCAAAAACTAAAAGGTTTCTTTCTCTCTCTTTTCTTCCTTCTCTCTAGTTTTATGTTTAGACTTCGATTAGGTTTTTATCGATTTTGGGTACAACACCGCCGTCTGCCCTAATTTTCCGATCCATCTCCATTTTCCGAGCTGATACGGGTACCGAGGCATATTTCCTCCCATCCTGATCCGTTTTTGTCCTCTGCTTTTTCGGTCTGAGGTTCTATCAAGGCGTGGTCTTTTATCTCTCAGTTCTGAGCTGAAGCGATTTCATGGCATCTTCGCGAACCGAGGCGTTTCTCTCCAGCTCCCCCCAAGGCGATATTCCATCTCCTCGATCTGCTCAAGCCGAGGCATCTCCTGTCAAGTGTTCTCAAACCGAGGCGATGTCTCCTACGTCTTCTACTTCCTCTCGAGCCGAAGCATCCTCCATTGCTTCTCCTTATGTTGAGGGGTCGCCAGCTCTCGAGGATTCGGTTGGTTCGATTAATTTTCCAACAGCTCGGGGTCGCAAGATGGTTCGTTCTGAAGAATTTGGGAATTCCACCGAGGCGGGTGGTATTGTGGATCAAATTGCCGATGTCAAGACAGGGGATCCCATCGATGGAGATGCTCCCGACGATGAAGGGATTCACCGAGATCTCCCAACCAGCGATGTTATGTCTTCCTTTGCCGAGGCCTCGCAGATAAAACTAGAAGAAGAAGGCTGGAATTTCGATCCCGTCGAGGCGAAAAAGGAGCTAGACTTTCTGATGAGTCTTCGGAACGAGGGTCCGTCAAAGAGGCAGAAAGCAAAGGTGAAAAAGGCAGATCCTCCGGGTTCGACACTTTCTACTGCAAATAGTTTATCGGAGTTAAAGGCTTGTTTCGGCATCAGGAAGGCGGTGGAGTTCGCATTACCCACTCCATCAGATCGCGCAGAAAATTCGCCTCCAAGCCATTTTACTGCATACTAGAGTTTTTTCTATGCCAGTCTGTTGTGGTTCCCGATCCCGGGGTTAGTATGCGAGTACTTATGGACACACGGGTTGGCCCTGGCTCAGCTTACTCCCCGGAGTCTTCGTCACCTCGTAGGCCTTATTGTGCTGAGCTATGAATGCGATATCGAGCTGTCAATGGAGCATCTGCTTAACTTGCTGGAAATTCGTAAGAATCTTAAGTCTGAAACTCATTATATCGGCAATAAGAAGAATAGGCGGATGCTTCACAGCTTTCCTAGCAAAGACTTGGATTGGAACAGTCGGTTCTTTTACGTTCTTATCGATGATGCCTCGGTAACTGAAGCCTGGATCGGGAAGATTAGGACGGACTGGGGAAAAATTGGTAGCCAACCAAGGCTATATTTCGAGGTTCTCGATTCCGAGGTGAAATGATATACTTTGCTGATTTATTATTTTTTGTATCTGCAGTTCGCCAGCTCGTCCTTCGCGTACCCGAAGATTTATCCTAGGTGGTTAAAGCTTTTCGCGAGCGCAGAGTGCATTGGACGAGGAGCTTTACACTCCAAAGAGTGGAGCGTGCGCGAGCTTATCATTTCGGAGTTGAAGTAGATATGTCGGTCTCTCATTCTCCGAATATCGCCTCAAGGCTTAAGATGGCGGCAAAAATGACCTACCAAGACAAGAAGGTGCTGGCTGCGAAGATGAGAGCCGAGGAGAGAGGCAGAGAAAGCTCCGAATCCAAGGGGACAAACCAAAAGGCTTCGAGCGTATCCACCGAACCGATCATCGAGCCACCTCAGAAATATTCTTCAGGAAAAGAGCTCATTGCGGGGTTGAAGTCTGCCCCGAGGCCTGATGATAAAGCAAAGGCGCCGATTCGGAAAGAAACGGGGAATGCTATCAAAAGGCCACCAAAGCGGTCCGCTTCGGAGCAGACCAAAGCTGCTGACGATGAGGCTCCCAAGAAAAGATGAGGCGCAATGTTACAGCTCAAGCCTCGGTCCCGTCTCTAAACGTCGCACCTGCTGTAGCCGATGCACCTGTTGACGATGCCACGGCCTCCGCGACCCTTTTTTCCAAGATGGTTCGCGCCGGTGACCGTTTTCTGCCGCCTGATACTCTTACCAAGAGGAGGAAGTATGCCAGGATGGCTCAAAAGGGGATCAAGGTATCGCACTTTCTTCACTTTCCTTAGTCTTTAGACGGTCTGATTGCGAACTCGAGTTGGTTCGCAGTTTATTGAAGCTGCAAACGATGTGGTCGCGGGATACTAGCAAGATGATCGGGAGGATCAACGCCGTGTCGCTGAAGCGCGCCAGGATGTTGTTGCCCTCAAGGCTAAGCTTGACGAGGCGGAGAGTAGACACACCGCCGAGCTGGAAAGGGCCGAGGCCCTCGTGAAGAAACTCGAGGAAGAGAGGGACGAGTTTAAGCTGAAACACGACAAATCTGACAGTCTGGCTGGTCGTCTTAATGAGCAAAAGATAAAGATAGAGTCTGAGCTTGTGTCGGTGAAACGTCAGTTGATTGCGGACCGCAAATTGCACGAGGCTGCTGTGACGAAAGCTCAGAAAGCGGCAAAGCGAGAACTTGTTGTGAAGTTCCAAGCGTGCATACACCAAACCGAAGCGAAGATCGATGAGTTAAAAGGTGGAGCTAGGACAAAGATTATCGATCTCGCTCAAGTATAGAGCAATCTTCAGCTTATCGGGATCCTTCAGGGCAATGATCCCCCTACGTTAGACGAGGAGAAGAAAAATTTAACTGAGTGGAAAGATGAGCTCGCGGATGCCGACGCAGAATTTGAACATCTCGCGACCGATCTCCGGGAAGACCTCTAGCTATCTCCGGTTTTGTCTGATTCTGGGCCCCTTATCGTGGGTGGTGAATCGATCGAGCTTATGAGCTCGAAGGTTGGTGTTGCGGATCCAGCAGGGTCTAACGTTGGTGCTCCAGGGGTACAAGACTTGATTGCCGAGAAGGAGACCGAGCTGGGGTCCAGGTCATCCGAGAAAAAGCCCGAGGAGAAGACCCGAGAGACGTCCGGTGCTGATTGAGTGATCGACCTAGAGACCGTTTGCTGTTATTTTTATGCTTTTTGTTTTGATTTTCTTATTTTTGTTGAGTGACCCTCTTCGCGGGCGCGCTT